GGCAATCGCGTTAAGTTGAGCGCGAATGGGCGAACAAGATTGGCACTGCAAGCCTACGGCTGCGGCGTCAAGCGTTTGAAAGTGGTGGGCTGTAGAACCACTACTATAAGCTAATTATTTTATCTTATACAGGCTGTGGGTGCATACTGGGTGGCGACTTCTTAAAAAGCATTCAGAGACCGTATTTAAAGTATACTATCTACTGTCCTTAGTAAACATAATTGCTAGAATTAGCACTTTAGCATATGCACGTACTTCTAACAGCAGCCTCGTAGTCCGAACCAAGTAGAAACCAATACAAACTGATGGTTACAGTTGACAGGGTGCAAACCAGTGCAAGTTCGGCTCTGCTCAGGACCTCAAACGTTTCATCACTCGGAATAGCTTAAGCCCAGATTTACACTCCTTCTCGAGATCAAGAGGGTATGAGCCCTAGCAATGACTTTAAACTGCAACACCTCTGACAAGTGGAAGCGTCAGTGTTAGTACCAGTACTAATAACGCGCAGCTACATTGCAAGCTAGTGAGTTCAGGTGAATAAAAAGTGAGAAGAAGCTGAACAGTGCAGTTGTAAACCACCACCTCGGAGCAGTTTTAGGTCATTAAGAGCGAGAAAATGGGTAATAAGTGGAAAAAAAACTGCCATTACAAATGACTAGGAATAGTTAGCCAACAGCAGGGCAGACTTTGTATTTCTTCTATGCTAGATGGAGGCCACCGAAACACCGTTACCAAGGTTGTCAACTTCAGCAGAGCTTGCACAACTGATATGGAACAACTGATTCGTTAGTAGGTCAGCCTAAATTCATGGACGTCGGCCATGGTAAAACGAAATTTTTTGTTGAGATCAGGGCAAAACAGTCTGCGGTCCTCACTTCTCGACTTCTTCACCGTTCATGGGACCATCTTTGCATCAAATAGGTTCCATATTCTGTAACGTTGGTTTTGCATCTACACAGGAGTAACCAGTGGCTTGTGCCTGATGTGCTGGCTGGCTAGTAGCCCTTGTTAAATCAGGAGGCCCGTCGGGTGGGCCTCAAATCTGACGTCGAGGAGGAGGAGTCGGTGAAGCATGGTCGGGAGGGGCTGCTTCGTCACCAAAAACACAGATAGAGAGCAGGGGAGATAGATCCACCGTAGGGAGATTGGTGTAGCAGACCTTGGCCACCGCGAGGTCGGGTGGGAACACGACGAAGACGCGTCTGCTGTGGTTCCCTGAGGCGCCTCATTCCCTGTGGTGCGCACCCATATCCATCACGCTCTTTATGTACTTAGACGAAAGAATTCTATAGGTTCTTTCGTGCAAACTGCTAGCCCAGAGCAGTTTGCCTTTTAGTTCTCCGCATAAAATGGTCCTAATTGCGAACAATATATGGGCGTTAGCCTTCTAAGGAGCTCGCTGGCGCGTCTGCTTGAAAATGGGACCATGATAAAAATTTGTTTCTTCTCTGCTGTTGGCGGTCTTTCGGCCATGTTCATAGCAATAAATCGATAAGGATACCCCTTTCATCGAAACACGCCTTTTATCATCTTAAGCTTTTCTTCGATGCTATCGGTCGAGCAAATTCATCAGGCGGTTTCCTTATCACTGAGTTCGGACTACGAGGACTAGGATACTGCTGCTAGACTGCTGTCCTGACAGTAATGTACGGCCAGCACACTAAATTCCAATTGTGCTGATGCAAGTACTCGTAATTTACTTATTGCATACAAAGATACAGAAGCCGACGATTATCGGGGAGCCAGAGAACGAGAGAGAAAACTCAGCAAAACCTTCACCGGGCGGGCGGGTGGGTAGATCTAAACCACCGAAAGAGCATGGAAAACTCATTAGAAGCAAGACTGTATGGCTGAAAAGGCGAGTGATACATTTGGAGGAAAAGACGCAGACAGGCACTCTACATACCAAGGCACGGTCGTTCATGTCGATGCGATTGTCCAACAGAAGACGCGCGACTTTGACATTGCCATAGTGGGCAGCAACATGTAGGGGGTTAAGAAAATCCTAAAAAAGAAGAAGAGGAAGGCATTCATGACAGACGCATGATAGACAACAGAGCAGGAGATTGTTCAAAAGAAGTGACCGTGTAGTTCTGTGGAGAAGGGGCTAGGGCATGAAAGAACCTACAGCATTCTTTCGTCTAAGTACATAAAGAGCGTGATGGATATGGGTGCGCACCACA